AACGGAATACGTTACAGAATACATTTTGGGGCATGTATTCTGTAATCTGTAATGGAATACATTTTAAAAGTAACCTTCCCAACACTGCCCATGTGGACATCCTGGGTGTAAAGATAACAAAAAACAATGCGTGATGGCAGTACGTAAATATGCTCAGGTTACTGCAACAGCCTGACCTGTAGAGATTGACACAGTCCGGTCTTTTCCCATTTCTGGTAACTCAACACTTCCAGCAAATGCGTGTGTTAATGTCATCAATAAAACACGCAACCGTTATTTGAAACAATTTGCATTTCTGAGAAGCTACCTTTCGGAGAATGATGATCCCCTCCTGGTTGTGTTCATTGGTAGTGATATCAAACATGGCGCCTCCATCGCCCGGCACGATTGTGTACTCCACTTCTGCATTTTTTCCGATGTCCAGGTCATGGGCTTTGATTCTCCCAACAGCGGAGCCCACTGTAGACGATTCAGGAACTCTCAAGTGAAAGAAACCTGCCAACAACAACAACAACACAAAAGTATGTTTATATAAATCAGACACGACTCATTCGTTATCATCTGTTGTCATCAAATGGAAATGTAGAGCTCCTTACATCCTCTGTGCTTTAAGTATTCTCTCACCGAGCCAAGGATGTCTTAATCACCCACAGGCAAAGCAACTGATACTCTCTGTGTCTGAAGTCAGGCCTGTAGCTATAGGCATGATATTATTCAATTTTGACGTGTTTGGACATCAAGGCTGCTCGGCTCCTTGAAATTGGTTGGCTCAACCTGTAAGACCAACATACACAAGAGTCCAGGGGCTTTGATACTACCAACAGCAGACATTTCTGCCGAGGATTTGGGAAGAGATCTATAAGCAAACAAACAGCAGGTTGATTGATTATCACTTACACCAGGTGGTGGATAGAAATTCATCTTTTTTTTTTCATTCTAAATTTCCCTACTCTGGCTGAGAAGGATATCAGTTTGAACTAACAGTTTCTGCTGCCGTCAGAGAAATGAAAACTTTACTGTTGCATTAAAAATCGAGAGCCTACACCTAGTGACTTCAAGGAGGTGGTGTGGGCGATTCAGTAGCACACTGAAAGTGGACCTGGAACGTCTAAGGGTAATTACACCACTGATTTTGTCCTTGCAATCTATATAAGTTTAAGAAATCTCAGAATGATGCGATGTCAGAAGGCACTGCAATATTATTCACGATGACTGGATTAGCAAGCGCTTCTAATCAGAGTCCAGCGGCTGAACCTGACCGCTGCACCAGCTTCACTGCTTTGCCATTTTAATAAGCAAATTCCAATCAGACTGAATCAATACTTTAACAAAAAAAAAAGCAGCAAAGACCAGTTACACGTTTTTTATTTGCTCAGCCTTTATTTGACAAATAAAATCTTGCTTGAACTTGAGGATTAGAAAGGATCAATAAAGAGAACTAAATGTGCAGAAGAAATTGTGTGATTGTGCTTCTGATAACAGTGGATTCCTACATTGTTTCTCAAAAATAAATATGCTAAAACAAAACCACAAACTGTCCAGTACCACAAGAAAATAATAGCGTACTATCTTAGGACTCATTTGTTATTCCTCAATTTTACTATGGATCATAGCTTTTTCCTTCATATTGATCCAAGGATTGAGAGAGGAAAGCTGCAGCATATGTGTGAATCCAGGAGCTGCGATTAAATATAATCAATAAATAATCAAATACTCCCAAGAACATCCTGTCATTTCAAAGTCTTTTCAGGTTCGTGTCCTTTCAAGGATAGAACAAGAACTTTTTGTAAACCCCAGAGTGAAAGAAAATCAAGTTATAAATTATTAGATGGTAACAAACAGCTGTTATGTGGCACTGTCATTGGGTTAACAAGCTTCTAGGATTTAATTCAGCTAAGCCAGATGCAGGTACTATACACCGCTATTAGTAATGGCATCTGCTGGCTTTTCATCACAGAGGTTTAGGGGATTGACAGTTCCCAAACACATAATCTATAATAACAAGCAACGGAAAGACAGATGTGTGGTGGGTTCATACGGCAATATATTACTGAATGAGAAAGAAGTTCTTCTACGCATGACCACCGCACATTATTTAAACCTGCAAGCCCCATATAAATGGAAAAAAGAAGAAGACAAAGGCAGGATTTGGGACAGGGCAGAGGAGCCACCATACTTGGCCCGAACCTCTGTGCTGTGACAGCATTATGGAAATATCATCTTTTCCTTGCAGCCAAAGGAGCTTGACCGTCTGACTGCATCTATTTACATTCAGAGGAGGCCATTCAGTGTCACCTGAAATACCGAAAAAGTCTGCATCAATACAGAGCAGTATTTGTGCTTTCCTGTCATACAGTTTGCTGGCTTGGAATAGAAAACATTGTGCAGAGAGTTTAATATTTATGCTTAGTATATGCAGAGAAGCTTTCACAGATCAATGATTTTACAGAATTGGGGATTTTTTTCCCCCCTGCATGGCTTCTTACATGACCTGGTGAACGCTACAATTGAATTAATCTGTTTAGCAGCTTATATAAAATACTGAGTAAAATACTGAGTTTAAATACACTGGCTCAATCCCTGATGCATCAGCGACATGCTCAAATCTGATCCAAATATAGAAGGATGCCCCATGAGCGAAATAAAACCAACCCCGGTTTATTTGCCAGGAGTAGTAGCAGTAGATGCAATCATGCAAAATAAACAGGCCATCGCTTACGACAGTGCATAATGACAAATAATGAAAAGCAATTACAAAGAGTAGATATGATGAATACCCCCTGCCCCGTTGTAATTGCACAGTGTTTATTTCATTATCAAAAAAATGTGCGAACCTGTATCAGGTCATCTCCATCATCATTGCTCTACATAACAGCCGAAGACGTTGTTTTCTGCAAAGTGCACTCACTTTTAGAGAACCTGGGCGGGTTGTCGTTGACATCGCTGAGGGTGATGTTGATGGTGGTGGTCCCAGCCAGTCCCCCCAGCTGGCCCCCCATGTCCTTGGCCTGGATTAATACCTGGTACTGTTCCTTCACCTCTCTGTCCATATTGGGCAAGGCTGTCTTTATAACCCCTGGTGTACAGCAAGATTGATGAGAAATACAGATAATAAAGAAGAGATATAGCGGAGAAGGAAGAGCAGATAGTGAGAGACAGAGATGGAGAGATAGAGAGACAAAGGGAAAAAGAGTGGTGAACATAAAATTCTCAGAAAAAAACAGTTGATGCCAGATCTGCAATTTACTTCAAAAAAACACAATATATTTCCACCTAAGCAGCTGACTCCCGCGTAAGAAGCTGCATATGTGCTCAGACCAAGGCTGAAATAGAGGTCATCTTACAAACTGGAAACACTTGACATTCAATAGGGAGCTCTGGTGAAGCCATATAATGATTCACTTGAGGATCAGAGACCCTGAGATCAGAGAGCGTTTGTACTGCAGATTAATAGCTAGGTCAGTGGGAGGTTGGCAGGCTAAAAAGAGGCAACCAGCATAGGTGGGTCCACATTTTCTCCTTTTCTCATTCTACTCAATATGGTGAGGATGTCCCATTTGATCCGCAAACATCTAACATGCATGAATCCAAAATCAAAGACTATAATTATTTTTTTTTTAACTTCTGTCATCTTTTTCTTTTGGGAAGAAGGAGAGTGTCTCTTCCTGTGACATGCATGGCGATTTATGTATATTGTTGTCCTCCTGCCTTTGCTCACCTTTTACCTCCCAGTGTTTGTTCCCCTTGTTTATGTGCGTTTGTAGATAGCTGCAGACCCAGCAGGGCAAACATTTGCTTTAACAGTTTGATTTTTTTCCAGCTTGAGTTTGAAATACAGTCACAGTAGGTGCTCTGTAAAGCTCTGGGATGAGCAGCATAATCAGCAACAGATTCCACCATATCTGGCTGTGTGATATGTATGAACCTATTTTCATATGCTTTGAACAGTTCCAGATAGCAAGCCAGCAGCGGCCTACTACCAGCAAGTACTGGCAGTATGAAAGTACAGTATTCTTTATTTTTTTATTTAGATTTTTTTTTTTTAGATTCAGAGCCATCATCTGCCATGCTCCCCCTGCTGCCACTCCACAACCTTTTTAGTGCCATTTCCTTCACATGAGACCAAAGCGCACATATAAATAAGATGGAAACAACCAACACTGTTAATGTCTCACCACCAGAGATAGATAGATACTGGTTAAAATTACCTACCTCTATCTGCACACAACACTGGCTAGCCAGCATCTATCTGCCTGAGATTCAGTAACAAAGTAATGACATTCACCATATTCAAGGTGAATGTGTGATGTTAAAGCAGTTTGGTTTTAGTGTAGCACATCCTATAGTCCAATTTTAAACCTTCAAATAAATAATTCAGATTCTCAGGTCTTATTGCCCCGAGGTTAATTCTGAGGCCTGTTTTTCCCGACTGTTAAATTCTCACACATGCTCACACATTTGATAAAAAAACCAAATTCTCTTGGGACAATGCAAATCACATAAAGCCATATTTTTTTCACAGTGGAAGACAGAAAACATAAATGTTTAAACTGGACATTTTACCGTTTCATTAAAATATTTGTTCATTTTGAATTTGATTGCAGCAACATATCTGAAAAAAAATGCGTCAGGTTCACGTTTACCACTGTAAAGGTATGAAAACTTAACTCAGCACAAATCAGTCCAGTCCTCTCCAGCCAGGAGGATGTAGCGTCCTGACTTAGTGCATTTAAAACAAACTTTGGCCCAGAGAAGAAGGTAGTGTTTCCCGATTATCTTCACTTAAGGCTTCTTCTTTGCGTGCTAGAGCTTTAACCTGCATTTTTGGATATCACGGTGAACTGTGTGAACACAGACAGTTATTTCATGAGCCTATTAAGTGTTCATGAGCCTATTAAGTGATTTTCATAACACAATCATGACTATTTTAAATGCTATATCTATGCTACAAATGTTCCACAATTTGTAGATGCAGTTTTTTTTACAGATTGGTGAACGTCTGCTGATCTTAAATTCTTAGATACTCTGCTTCTCTAAGAAGCTCTTTTATACCCTGTCATGTTACTGACCTGTTGCCAATTACCGTATTTCCCTTGACTACAAAGCGCACCTGAATATTAGCCGCACAAGCTAAAATCAGGGGAAAATCCTGTTTTGTACATACATTAGCCGCACCTGACTAAAAGCCGCAGGTGTTTCAATGTTGACTTATCATATGTAAGAGAATATGCACAAAGGGAATTGTCAGGAAAGAGATGGCTGTTTGGAGACACACCCCTTTTATTAATATTTTGAAAAACAAGTTACGGGTACATATTTGCATAACTTTTTAGGTATGTGTACAAGTACCGGTAAATACAAGTACGAAACATGTACTGTGCTTCATAAACGAGTAACAAATGTAGTACATAACAATAACCTACAGCACACCAGAAAAATAGATTCGGACTACCTTTTAGGCTCAGGTGCAGTGACACGGCTTTAACAAGAAGAAAAGTCAGTCATTCACCACCATCTTTCTCTTCTTCCTGCGCACTAAAACCACCAAAGTCCTTTTCTCCAGTGTCGGAAACGAACAGGCTCAGGATAGCTTCGTCATCCACTTTCCGCTTCTCTCCTTCGTTGTCACTTTCAAAACCAAACAAATCCTTGTTGTCAGTGTCGGAGTCGAACACCCTCTGAAGGGCCGTGGCGGTGTCTCCATCATGCAGCAGTCCAGCCCTTCGAAATCCGTTGGTGATCGTGGATGTTTTCACACTTTTCCACGCTGTCAGAATCCACTGGTGGAGTTGGGCATAACTTGCTTTTCGCAAGTTTATCGCCGCTCGTCATCCACGGCTCCCGCTGAACGCGTAGCGCTACTTTGAAGTTTGTTTTTCGCGCTACTTCGTACGGCACTACGTTGCCTGGCGGACGGACATGTGACCAACATACCACTCTTGAACCCCGATCCTTCCGCCAGGCAACGTAGTGCCGGAGAACAACGGAACAAAAAAAACAAATCGTCTTACGATATCACAAAAATCATGGACAATCCTTAGAAAAGCCGCACCTGACTAAAAGTTCAAAGCTTGTGCAAAAAGTAGCGGCTTATAACCCGACAATTACGGTAATACAAACTTAATTCAAAAGGTTCCTCTGGCTGTTTGTTTTTAGTACCACTTAGTTTTCAGCCAGTTTTTTAGTCGTGTTACTGCCATTAAATTCAAAATGAGACAATATTTTTTAATGAAATGATAAAATGTTTCAGTTTAACATTTGATATGCTTTATATGTACTGTTGTGAATAAAATATAGGTTTCTGAGATTTGCAAAACATTGCATTATAATTTTGTTTAAATTCTAAATCTGTTCACAGCACAAAACAAAAAAACAAAAACACAAGTACTTTACCTGTTTTGGGATCAACAGAGAAATAGGGTTGCCCGTGGAGGATGCTATACACCACTCTGGCACTGTTTCCATAGGTAGGGTCATCTGCATCTGTGGCTGTTACTTGCGTCACATATGTCCCTGCAGACAGGAGTCAGAAGACATATTGACTCGATCTAATCGCTTTCTTCATTAGACCGAGATCCAAACTCTTTGAACCTCATCAGTTTGCTAAACAATCTCACCTGACACTAATGAATGGTGAATCTCTGCCGAGAAAGCCTCAGCTAATGCGCAACATTCAGAGCCCCTGATGGAGTGCAATGAGCAATGAGGAGGAGTGCAGAGGAGAAATAATGTGCTGGGAAGTTGTTCAATTTTCTTGTTGTGTGTGTTGATTTGTGCATCGCTTAAAAAGTAGCTGTTCTTTAACAATAGAGCAGCAGTTTTATGTTTTTGGTTATTTTTTTCCCCTTAAAACTCTTATGTGACTATTCATTATACAGTGTAACCATTAAGAAAACAAAGGGGCATGGCAAGAATAGTATTAAGATGGCAGTCTTCCAGACTCCTTCAGTAACAGGGACAGAATAATTACTTGTTGGATGTTTTGCTCATCCCTTTTAACTAGCTGGCAGTGAAAACACTATTTCACTAACACAATCCTGATTAAATGCATTGGAATTAAACTGGTTTAATAAAAAGTTTCTAGTGTGAGGAGACAATAAGTGATGCCTTGACAGCATGACTGTCTGACAACTCCACAACTCATTTCTGGGGGTTCTCGTGCAGATGGACCAATTGTTTAGGAGGACTTGCAGATAGGTTGACATTGATGCTTCACTCGCAGCGCACATACGTCCACGTCTCAACCGCATGCCTACGTCTGGATAGCTGTGCACAATCGGATACTTAGTATGATCAAGAGAGGCTGACCACAGGGATTGTATAGTTGCTTGGAATTCTGCTAAGATTTTAGCTCCCTATAAAGAACTTGATGTATACTAAATAGGCTTTTCAGTCTGAGGAGATGGTAACAATGGAATTAAACATGGTGTGAGGGATTAGTGTTTCAGTCCTCCACATGTGCCTGATTAGTCATACCTGAGAAGGACTGCATCATGTTACAACACGGTATACAATAGATGAGATAATACACTTAACACCTTTTCTGTTCATCCAAGGAGAGGAAATCCGCTTCAGTAAGAGCTCAGATGCAGAGAGAGTTTGAGAGACTTTAAGCACATCATACACCTACGCAGCAGGCACCAACCTAGGTGCAGGGCTATAAACAAGTCAAATAAATTCTACTCATATTATTATTATTATGGAAATTCAAATGCATAAGTAGGAACACGATGAAAGAAGTGACTTCAAAGGTCACTGCTGGTAACATTTTGCAAAAAGGAAATATATTATATTTATCTAACCTTAAATATTCAATTCGTCTCAGTCAGTATTCGAAAAAATGACGATGATGTGTTTCAGTAGAATGTAGAGGAAGTCAAATGACACTGAAATGAAATTTGAAGTAAAAAAAAGAAGAGAATGAATACAGTGAGCATCAGTCAAGAACTCTGGTGCATGGAAAAGCAGTATATAAGGCAAGAACGGATTTTAACGAGCTTGAAAGTCAATGGTTGGTATCGCCACCTTTAATCTTCAACACAGCCTGAACTTTCTCAGGCAAACTTTCTTGTCCTTTCTTTAAGTAGTCTTCAGGAATAGTTCTCCAGGCTTCTTGAAGGACATTCAAGCCTGAC